CGGAGCTCGGGGCCGCGGGGACATCCGCACCTCGCACCGCTGGGGCCTCGGCCCGGCCCGGCCTCTCCCTCCCCAGCAACAGAAAGAGCCCAAAATAGCGCGGATCTCTGCAGCGCTTCCTCTCCGGGCGCCACCCTCCCCTTCCCCGCAGCTGGGGGCTGTGCCCGGCCCAGCCGGGGCACCCAGCAGCCCTGGCCCCTGCCCTCCCAGGCCCCTTGCTGCAAAGGGAAGGAGCAGCAAGAGGCAGCGGGAATCGTCCCTGGCCCCCGGGAGCGGGATGACGGGCAGACCCCACCTGCCCCCGCAGCGCCTGGGGCCACCCCGCGCCCTGGCCTCCCGCACTCGGGGGCCCAGCTCCATCGGCCTGCTCCTTCTCACTGCCCGCTCCCACGGGCTGCTGCACCCCCTGGCCACGGCGCTCGGGCCTGGAGCTCGAGGGGCTGGGCTGGGCCAGGGACCAAGGGCATGAGCGTGGCACAGGCCTCTCTCACAGGGGCCAGGCTGTGACGCTGCCCTGGCTGGGCCTGCGCTGGCCGGGCCCTGACCCCAGGGCAGCCGACCCTTGGGAAAGGCCTACTGGGCATGGGCATGAATCACGAGCTGCCTGTAAACACCCGACCCCAGCCCCCCGCACATTGCTCAAGCTGTTTTTGCAGGGAAAAGGAGGAAGGCAGTGAGGCCTGGGAGCCACCGGTTCCCCTTTCGAACCAGCCAGCTGGTCAGACCCCGGGTGGGGGGCCCATACAGGGGCTCTGCTCCTCTGAGCATAGGCCAGCCCCCCTCACCCCAGCCAAGCACCCCAAGGGCTGCTACTGAGTCTGGCTGAGTGGGAGCAAGGCACCCTGGCCTCCAAAGCTACTAGATCCCCTAAGCACAGGGGTGCTGGCAGCTTCCACATCCCCCACAGGGACACTGCCTCCCCCCACCCCCCAGCAAGCTCTCACACCCCTGCAGAGTGCCCATGGTGTGGGGAAGGGAAGATCCTGTGCCCCCAACCTGGGCCTGTGCCCTGCTGAGCTGCACCCAGAGCAGAGAACTTCCTAGCACCCTCCATGCCTGTGGCCCAGGCACTGCCCCCCAAACCAGCAGGCACAAACCACTGCTGACCCCAGCCTCAGCACAGCCCCCAAATGAGTAGCTAGTGCCCTGGGAATGGCTGCCACCCCCAGGGACAGAAAAGAGGCTCTGTGTGAGCTTGAATTTTACCATTTTTTTCATTTCCTTTTGTTTATATATATATATATATATATATATATATATATATTTATATTTATATTTTGATATTTATATATAAAAAAGAAAGATGTGTACAGTGGGTGGGGGGCCCTGCCTGGCCCGGCCCAGCCCTTCTGTGTCTCTGTGTCTCCGGCATGATACATTCGTGTGTGACTCAGGGTAGCGGTAACTCCGTGCGTGTGGATATTGAGCACACCAGCTCCGTGGGGGCCTCCTGCTCCTGGGAAATTACTGCCACCCAGTGTAGGGTCCATCATCCACGCAGACAGAGGGGGGTGATTTTTGGTTGCACAGTTGTGGTCCGGCCTCCGCCTCTGCCCCACAGCACCTAGATGGCCCTGTGACCAGTGCCCCCAGGAGCCCCAGCCTTGCCACCACGTGGGTCTGCTGCAGGCCCAGCAGCCTAAGTGGTGGGGCACTGGTGGGTGTGTGCAGGGATGCCACCGCCGCCTCACACCTTGAGCGTCTTGTCGGCCCCGCAACTGGGGCTGCTGGCGTTGCTGCTGTCACCGCCTTTCTTCTTGCGCAGGGTGCTGGAGCGGGTGGCGAAGCTGGACAGCGCCAGGGAGCTGAGCCGCATGTTTTTGCCCGACATGATGAGCTCACCAAAGCCCTCCTGGTGTGAGAAGGCATAGCCCGAGCGGCGCGAGCCCGCACGGCCCACCCGCCGCATGCACCGGTGCTGCGCCTTCTGCTTCTTCCGCACCAGCTGTGTGTAGCGCACCTGGGGAGCCGGGGGGCAGAGTCAGGAGCTTGGGCAGGGGCACAAGGACATGGCACCCCTCCAGCCTTTTGTGGGGACAGAGCTCTAGCTCCCCTGCCCCCGCCACATCACAGGGCCAGGCAAATGCCATGCTGTAACATGGAGCACGCACACATCTTCCTCCTTGCTCCAGGCACCGAGAGAGATTCGGGACCTTAGTACCATGGCCAGGTCCATCTGGCATTGGCCTGTGCACAGCACAGCACGCCTGGACATGGGCCCCCCCTCACAGGCACTCACCATGTCAGAGAGCTCAGGCTTCAGGTCCAGCTTAAGGAAGCGGAAGGCGACGACAGGCATGATGCAGACCACAGTGGTGAGGGCGATAGTGAGCCACACGATGGGCTGGGCCAGTGTGTTCTGCGCGTTTCCTGCAGGGGAGATGGGAGCCATGGGAGGAAGAGCAGCAACTGGGGGCAGGGACCCTGCCCAGAGCTGGGGCAAGCATGACCTCCCAGGGCACTGCAGCCTGATGCTGCTCTCAAGGGGCAGGACAGTCAGGGTTAGGAGGGCCAGTCATGAGACAGTGGCTAGGGCAGGACCCAGGACATCCCTCCCTTGGGCACTGGGGACACAGCAGCATCTCCACGGTGGCACCAGTTGCCCAGTTTCTGCCCCCCAGTCCCCTCCCCTGTCCACAGGCTCACCCACAAAGCGAAACTGGTTGGGGAACATCTGGAAGAGGCCGTTGCTGTGCATGGCAAAAAGGATGGCGAAGTACACGGCCAGGCTGCCCCAGATGAAGAAGTGGTTGATGGCTGTCCAGAACCCCGTGTCCAGCCCAATCTAGGGAGAGCAGCGGAGGTCACGGCAAAGCTGCAGACAGGCCGAGCCAGGGGCCAGGCTCTGTGGGTGCTGGGGCAGGCACCAGGGAGCAAGGGTACATTCCCAGCCAGTTATCCCAGTCCCAGCACCCTTCATGATCCTGATCTGCAGCTACATCCCCTGAGCCTGGAGATGCAGCCACTTCTGGGGTGGGGCATGTCAGCAGCTGGAGCAAAGCAGCCTGACTCCCCCATTGCCCCCAGGGGCACAGCTAACCTGCACACTGACGACGATGACCAGGGAAGTGGCCACAGTGACGGCGAAGGACTGGTAGTCGGCCAGCTGGGCCCCGTCACCACGGGTGGCATCAGCAAAGACACCGTAGGGGATGAAGAACATGAGGACAGAAGTGTAGATGCCCTGGGCAATGCAGATGAAGAACTCCCGCTTATTGAAGAGCAGGTTGAGCTGCCCCGGCTCATACAGTTTGGGGTACTCCATGCTCCGCTGCTCCGGCACATCCTGGGGAGAGGGAGGGTCAGCTGGGGGCAGGGGCCCAGTCCCATGCAGCCAGGCCATGATCAGACTGAGCCCCCAACAGAGAAGCCAAGAGAGGGACCAGGCCAAGAGTCTGAGCTCCCCTCCAGCCCTGAGCTGGGCTTTCTCCACCCTGCTCAAGGCATCTTCCCCCCTCCAAAGGGGAAGCCCATGCCCAGCATCCCCCAGCACATGGACAAGGGTAGGCAGGGACCACTGGGGTGTGAATACCCTCCAAGAGCAGGATTGCTCCTTCTGCCAGGTCAGGACCCCGCTATCCTCAAGCACAGAGCAGCTGCCCACCCGCCCCCTGCTGCAGGCTGCCCCCTATGCAAGGTGTGGGGGTGAAGATGCCCCAGCCCCGTACCTGGTCGAACACGCCCATGGCGAGCACGGGCAGCGAGGTGTAGACGATGTTGTAGAGTGTGATGAAGTACTGGTCGTAGACCGTCTGCCGGGAAGGGAGAGGTCAGCGCTGGGCAGGGCAGGGGGCCCTGGTCCGCCCCCCTCCCCCCAGCACAGCCCCTGACCCAGTCCCCACCCTCTGCCTCTCGCTGACCCCTGTCTTGGTCAGGCCACAGGCCCAGGCTCTATGCCGGGGTCCTGATCCTGCAGCCCTCACCCACGGCTGGTATGGGCTGTGCTGCCCCCTAATGGCTGATACTGAGCTCTTTGCACCCAGAAGGGGTCCAGACCCAGGTCTGAATCCAGCCCAGGCTGGATTAACCCCTCCCTGCCCACAGAGTCCAGGCCATACCTGGGCAGAGAAGCCACAGAAGAAGCCGAACCAAAAGTGAACCATAGTGAAGGCAAAATTCTTGTAGAAGAAGTAGCAGAGGAACTTGCACATGCGCAGGTAGGACCAGCGCCCATGCACCAGCAAGAGTCGCTGCAGAAACTTGAACTGTGAGAAGGAGTAGTCCGCGGCCAGCACCGCCTGGATGCCCTCGAGCCCGCTGATGCCCACGCCGATGTGGGCTGCTGCAGAGGGGAGTGGTTTGTGGGCTCAGCAGGGCACTCGCAGCTGCTGAACCACAGCAGGGCACTCGGAGCTGAACCACAGGGCGTCCACACCCCTGCAAAGGGATCCCTGCAGCTCTCAGGGATGAGCCCAGATCCCCCCTGCCCCCACTCACTCTTGATCATGCTGACGTCATTGGCTCCATCACCAATAGCCAAGGTCACGGCCTTCTTGTACTTCTTCACCAGCTCCACCACCTGTGCCTTCTGCAGCGGTGTCACACGGCAGCAGATCACAGCCTTGCAGGCACAGGCTGTCTCCAGAAACTCCAGCTCCATGTCAGCTTCCAGCGCATGGGCCTGTAGGAGGGTCGAGGGGCCATCAGCACCAGGGCAGCATCCCAGACCTGCTGGTCCCAGCAGAACTGTCCGAGACTTGGGGGGGGCGGGGGTCGCAAAAGCACCTGGCCCTTAGCTCAGTAAGGGCAAGAGCAGGGCTGCCAGGGCTGGGCAGGGGCAGGATGTGGGTCTGTCCCATTGCAAAGTTCTTATCGATTAAAAGGTGCATGACTCAGTTTCCCCAGCTGTCTGTATGCTCTATATGCTGTGGCTGCAGGACTTAACATCCACCCTGGACCAGGGAGGGGCAGCATCTGCAGGTAGCTGCATGCAATGAGCTGTCTCTGTTCCCCCCATGCGCCCGTACCAGGCTGTGCCCGTTGATGACCAGGGCATACTCGCCGGCGATGGCTTCCAGCACGGAGGTCAGCTTGGAGGAGCAGAGCTTCTCTTGGCAGGAGAACCCATTCCCCATGGAGCGTGACCCATCCATCATTTTCTCCCGGGCTTTCCTGGTTGGGGGCAGCTGTCAGGGGCTGCATGGGCACCAGTGGGGCAGGGAGGAAACCCTCCACCCCCCTGCTCAGAGCACCCCCTGGGCCAGCTCCCACTCCCCGACCCAGAGCACCTTTCTGTGCCAGCCACTGCCAGCAGCCCTCACCTGAGCTCCTCGCGCACCTCTAGCACCGTGTGCCCCGTCACAACGAACACCTCCGTCATGTCGCCCGTCAGCATCTTGCAGGAGTAGCCAATGTTCACGGCTGTCTCTGAGGGGAAGAGGCAGGTTGAGTCCCAAAGCAGGCCCCCCAACACTCCCAGGGACTAAGCCAGAAGGTAAAAGCTTCAGCCTGAAGCAACCCCTACTCCCCTGCCCCCTCACCTGGCTTGTCACCTGTAAGCACCCAAATCTTGATGTTGGCCAGCGTGAGGATGGCAATGGTCTCAGGCACACCCTGCTGCAGCTTGTCCTCAATGGCCGTGGCCCCCAGCAGCTGGGAGAGATGCGTGTGAGCACAGGGGTGCTGTGGGACCACCCCCCACCTGCCAGGCCAGCTTTCTGGCACCTACCATCATGTCATGCTCCACCTCATCATAGAGCCGGGCCAGCCTGTCCTCACGGGCATCGGGGGCCAGGCTGGCTCGCCGCAGCCGCTCTGCCCAGTCCCTGTAGTACCCCTCCTCCAGGTCCTTGTAGGCTAGCACCAGTGTCCTCAGCCCCTCGCCAGCATACTCCTGTGGGCACCAGGCATCAGGACCAGGAGCCTGGAGATGGGGAAGGAGGGACACGGGGACCCCCATAACCCTTCCCCGGACAAGCCTCCCCCAGCCCCAGTGCTTCAGGCACCCCTTCCCCTTGAGCTGCCCCCACTCACGTTCAGGTGGTCTGTGGTAATGCTGGCCAGCTCTAGGTTGGCCGGGTGCAGCCGTTCCAGCAGGATGGTGTCGGCCCCCTTGCAGTACAACCGTATCTTGCCCTCAGGGTTTCTCACTGTGGGGGAAGGTGCCATGAGCCCCAGCCCCCATAGCCAGGCAGGGACAGGGAGCTCAGGACCCCTGTGCTGGGGGAGGCGACAGGGACTGAAGACCCTGAGCTGTCTCCTCCCCAGCAACCACAAGCGGAGGTTCGAGCAGAGGCCCTGGACCCCAGCAGTGTTTGGGGGGCCAGATCCCAGGCCAGCACAGCAGAGACTGGCCGCATCCAGCCAGGGCAAGGATGCAGCCCCTGAAGCTGACCTGCTGTCCAGCACTGGCCCCACCACCCCTTCCCAGGACCATGTCCATACACCCACAAGGTCCCTCAGCCCATGGCTCCTGGAAACCCGCTTGTCCCATAGCTCGGCCCCGCTCACCAATGACCGACATGCGCTTGCGGATGTTGTTGAAGTCCAAGATGGCAAGCAGCTGGTAGGTGATGGCATGGCCCAGCTCGTGCACCGTGATGGTTTTGGGTGTGCGCGCCCGGAAGACAAAGCCGAAGTTCCGGGCAGCTGTGACCAGCGCCCCCTCGTCCGGGGACTGTGCCTTGTAGTACAGCTCCCCTGGGGCATGGCGGGTAGGGATATGGAGTCAGAGGCAGAGCCAGTGAATAGAGGCCACCCCTCACCCCCCACCCAGGGATCCAGTCCCTGTGGCCATCCCCTCTCCTGCAAGCCATGCGACACCCACCCTTGTTCTTCTCCTCGGACATGACAGTGTGGCAGAGCGAGAGCAGGCGGAAGAACTCATGCACGTGGGGGTTGCCCAGCTGCACGGCGGCCAGCAGGCCGGTGTCCCAGAACCGGAACCGTGGGTCGGCCAGCGGGTTGAAGGAGAAGTCCACTGGCTCCGGACGCTGGGGATGGAGACATGGTGAGCACCCCGCTGGCTGCCGTGGACACTGAGCTCTAGCCCTGCCCCCCCAGCACCCAGGCATGGGCTCTCAGAGACAGGGACAAGTAACAGCCTGGCAGCAAGGGTCCTCTTGAGATCCTGGGACCTGCCCCTCCCCTCCTCTCCCCAGTGGCTCCATTTCATCCTCAGGTGCCTCTGCCTTCCCCTGACATGATGCAGCCAAGATGGGCCAGGTGGGAGAAGGGAGGTCATACCTCTCCCAGCTCAGCTTTGTGTCCCAGCATGTCCTGGACATCACCTGCGAGCAAAGCACAAGGGGTTAACCACTTCGCCTGCCCCCATGGCTTGGGGAAGCACTGGCCAGCTGCACCCAGGACTCTAGCATCTCCCCCCTGCCCACCCCAGTGGTCTTCACCAGGGAGGTCCCAGGACATGCACACATCCCTGCAGGGATAACACAGCCCAGCCCCCAGCCCTGGGCTTGGTGCATTGGAGCTGCAAGGATTGAGGCACCTCTTGAGATGGCAAAGGCGTGTTCAGCTCCTCTGCAGCTCCATGGGGTTACTGTAGGGAGCTCACAACCCCACTCCACCCCCGACAGGGAGATCCCTGTGCTGCCCCCTTCCTGCAGCCCATCCCGTCCCTCACTGCTCACCGTAGCTGCGGCCATGCACAGAGCACTTGCTGAAGACCATGATGTTCTGGGTGAGCGTGCCGGTCTTGTCAGAGAAGATGTACTCCACCTGTCCCAGCTCCTCGTTGAGTGTGGTGGTGCGGGCCTCGGCTGGCGTGCGCCGCTTGGCACAGTACATCTTCTTGTCCCAGTTGATGAAGTAGCTGTGGCCGAGGCGAATCACTTCCACGCTGTGGGATGGAGGGAGGGGGCTCGTCATGGCTCAGCATGGGGCCTGTCCCTGCCGCACAGACTCCCATGGAGCTGCTGACAAAACCCAGTTGTCCCGGCCCCTAAAACATGGGCCACCTGCCCCCAGCCTAACCCCACAAACCTCCTACCCCCAAATGCAGCGAGCAAGGAGCCTAGGACAGGGCCACAAACAGGGGACACGGCCAGCCGACCCTAGGGGCATATGCTAGGGTCACCCCCACCCCCCTGGGCAAGTACCCACTCCCCCACAGCAGGGAGGAGGAAGAGGAAGAAGAGCACCTAGGCTAGCAGGGAGCGTGACCCGTTCTTACCTCGGGGCTAGGGGTGAGAGAACGCATGCTGGGGAACGAAAAGAGAGAGAAATTAAAAGAGAGAGAGAAGGGGGCAGGGCAGGAGGGTGCAGGGGGGGGGAAGAAGGGCTGGGCAGAGCCAAACAAGCCAGCGTGCAGCAGGGCAGGGCAATGGGACAGCCAGGCGGCCAGGACAGAGCACAGAGATGGCGGCACAGCCTCTACCTAGGAGCCTCCAGTACAGCCAAAGGCAGCAGCCCCCTTGCCCCCGGCCAGCCCTCTCCCCCAAGCCGTCCAACCTTGCTCTTTCCCCCACCCTCCCAGCACCCTGCTGTGGGTGCGCCCCCACCCCAGAGTAGCTGGGAGCCTGTGGAATCGCCCC